AAAAAAAAAAAAAAAAAAAAAAAAAAAAAAAAAAAAAGAAAAAAAAAAAAAAAAAAAAAAAAAAAAAAATAAAAAAAAAAAAAAAAAAAAAAAAAAAAAAGAAAGAGGAGGCGGCCCCACACGGCGTGTGTGGAGACGCGTGACGCGCGGCGGCGCCTCCTCGGGCGCTCGTCATCGCGGCGTTTCGTTGGGTGGCTACGCGGTCACCTCCCTACTCATGGGCACCCGCGAACCGCCCGACAACGTGGGTGAAGCTCGACCCGCCCCTCAACTTCCTGGCAGGCGATTGACGACGACGCAAACCAGACGGGCCAGATGCTCGCCGCATTGATGGGCTGGCCGCAGGCCACGCCAACCTCCCCCCTCCCCCCCCTCCCCTCCCCTCCCCTCCCCTCCCCTAGCCCCTCCCCTAGCCCCTCCCCCCACCCACACACCACACCACCACCACCACCACACCGCCTGCCTCCCTCCTCACCCAGACACGCGCGCGCGACCCCCCGTCTGTCTGACGCAGCGGTGGGCCCGGCGGCGTCCGTTGTGGAATCCGGTGGCTCGGGGGTACGGCGACTCACAGAGAGAATGCGCCACACACAGCTCTGCTCACAGAGAGAGTGCGCCACACACAGCTCTGCGCCTCGGAGGCGCGCCCCGTGGACTCCGGCCGCAAGACGCCGAGAGTGCGCTCCCGGCACCTCGCAGGGCGCGTTCGCGTCGGAGCTGAAGGTAGACGGCGGCAAGGCGACGGTGACGCGCGAGGTCGATTCGGGCCTCGAGACGCTGAGCATGCCCGCGCATGTAGATGCATGGAGAGGGGAGGGGGGGGGGGGGGGGAAAAAAAGGGGGGGGGAGGGGGAGAAGGAGTGGGAGGAGTTCACGAGCATCCGGTCCCTTGATGAGTGGAGGAACGGTGGCTTGCTGCTTGGCGGCCACCGATGCCCCTGTAGTGCGCCGCATGGTCCGGCCACATATAGCCGCTGTAGCAGCCGCTGGAATGCGCCGTGCCCCCGGCCGCACATGGCCGCTGCATCCGCACGAACGCACAACTGCACGCGGCCGTTGTATCTCCACCGCCCTCTGTCCCCGTGCTTTCAACTTGCAGGCCCCTTCCTGCGGTGGTGACGGCGGATTTGCGGCTGAACGAGCCACGGTGCGCGCCTGCAACAACAAAAGGCCTGGTCACAGACCAAATCCCCGGCTCACCCGCCTCTCTCGGCCAGGTACGCGACGCTGCCCAACATCATGAAGGCCAAGAAGAAGAAGATCGACAAGATGACGCCCGCGGACCTCGGCGTCGAGATCAAGAAGCACCTGACCACGGTCAATGTTGAGGAGCCACCCGTGCGGCAGGC